GGTGATTACCGTAGATTAAGGAGTTCATGTATTCACCATGTGTTAATGCTTTGTTCCGGTTCTCTATTAAAAGGAGGCCTTAATATCCCTTAGTTTCCAATATGGACCCCGCTGCCACGGGAGGGTAGGACAAAAGATGTCATGCAAGTTCTTTTAATAAAGCACGTATGACTATTTACGGAATACATGCCTACATTATATCGATGAACTGGAGCTAGTACCGAATAGCCCTAGGTTATAACTGTCACATGATGAATATCATCCAACAAGTCACCGGTCCAATGCCTACGAACTTTTCCATATTGTTTCTGCTAAGTTACTACTGCTATCATCACTGTTATGCTTGCTACAAAAATACTGCTATCACTGTTACCGTTACTATTGTTGTTGTCACTACTATCAAAACTATCATATTACTTTGCTACTAATCACATTGCTGTAGATAATTAATCTCCGGGTGTGGTTGAATTGACAACTCAGCTGCTAATACCTTCAAGTATTCTTTGGCTCCCTTTGTGTCGAATCTATAAATGTGGGTTGAATACTCTACCCTCGAAAACTGTTGCGATCCCCTATACTTGTGGGTTATCAGCAAGCTCCAGCGATCCATTTATGGACATGTTGTAAGCCTCTCGGAGTTGGAATATACGATTTGATAGTGTGATCAAAGCATATGGTTTTATACAGACTTTTGGAGAAGCATGTATTTACAAGAAAGTGAGTGGGAGCTCTGTAGCATTTCTAATATTATATGTGGATGACATATTGTTGATTGGAAATAATAAAGAATTTCTAGATAGCATAAAAGGATACTTGAATAAGAATTTTTCAATGAAAGACCTCGGTGAAGCTGCTTATATATTGGGCGTCAAGATCTATAGAGATAGATCAAGACGCTTAATTGGACTTTCACAAAGCACATACCTTGATAAAGTTTTGAAGAAGTTCAAAATGGATCAGTCAAAGAAAGGGTTCTTGCCTGTGTTACAAGGTGTGAAGTTGAGTGAGACTCAACGCCCGACCACTTTAGAAGGTAGGGAGAAAATGAAAGTCATTCCCTATGTCTCAGCCATAGGTTCTATCATGTATGCAATGCTGTGTACCGGACCTGATGTGTGCCTTGCTATAAGTTTAGCAGGGAGGTACCAGAGTAATCCAGGAGTGGATCACTAGACAGCAGTCAAGAAGATCCTGAAATACCTGAAAAGGACTAAGGATATGTTTCTCGTTTATGGAGGTGACAAAGAGCTTGTCATAAATGGTTATGTCGATGCAAGCTTTGACATCGATCCGGATGACTCTAAGTCACAAACCCGGATATGTATTTATATTGAATGGTGGAGCTGTCAGTTGGTGCAGTTCCAAGCAGAGTGTTGTGGCGGGATCTACGTGTGAAGCGGAGTACATAGCTGCTTCAGAAGCAGCAAATGAAGGAGTCTGGATGAAGGAGTTCATATCCGATCTAGGTGTAATACCTAGTGCATCGGGTCTAATGAAAATCTTTTGTGACAATACTGGAGCAATTGTCTTAGCAAAGGAATCCATATTTCACAAGAGAACCAAACACATCAAGAGATGCTTCAACTCCATCCGCGGTCAAATCAAGGAGGGAGACATACAGGTTTGCAAAATACATACGGATATGAATGTTGTAGACCCGTTGACTAAGCCTCTTCCACGAGCAAAACATGATCAACATCAAGACTCCATGGGTATTAGAATCATTACTATGTAATCTAGATTATTGACTCTAGTGCAAGTGGGAGACTGAAGGAAATATGCCCTGGAGGCAATAATAAAGTTGTTATTTATATTTCTTATATCATGATAAATGTTTATTATTCATGCTAGAATTGTATTAACCGGAAACTTAGTACATGTGTGAATACATAGACAAAACAGAGTGTCCCTAGTATGCCTCTACTTGACTAGCTCGTTAATCAAAGATGGTTAAAGTTTCCTGACCATAGACATGTGTTGTCATTTGATGAACGGGATCACATCATTAGAGAATGATGTGATGGACAAGACTCATCCGTTAGCTTAACATAATGATTGTTATGTTTTATTGCTGTTGCTTTCTTCATAACTCATACATATTCCTCTGACTATGAGATTATGCAACCCCCGAATACCAGAGGAACACCTTGTGTGCTATCAAACATCACAACCTAACTGGGTGATTATAAAGATGTTCTACAGGTGTCTCCGAAGGTGTTTGTTGGGTTGGCATAGATCAAGATTAGGATTTGTCACTCCGAGTATCGGAGATGTATCTCTGGGCCCTCTCGATAATGCACATCACTATAAGCCTGTCAAGCAATGTGACTAATGAGTTAGTTGTGGGATGATGCATTATGGAACGAGTAAAGAGACTTGCCGGTAACAAGATTGAACTAGGTATGAGGATACCGACGATTGAATCTCGAGCAAGTAACATACTAATGACAAAGGGAATATCGTTATAAAATCATATTGGTTGATGGTTCTTGTAAATACAGGCTTCTCCAAAAGTTTGTATAACACCATATGCTTTGATCACATCATCAAAGCGTATATTCCAACTTCGAGATGCTTGCACCAGTCCATAAATGGATCGCTGGAGCTTGCACACTTTGTTAGCACCTTTAGGATTGACAAAACCTTCTGGTTGCATCATATACAACTCTTCTTTAAGAAATCCATTAAGGAATGCAGTTTTGACATCCATTTGCCAGATTTCATACTCATAAAATGCGGTAATTGCTAACATGATTCAGACAGACTTAAGCATCACTACTTGTGATAAAGTCTTATCGCAGTCAACTCCTTGAACTTGTCGAAAACCTTTTACGACCGAACGCTAAGTGTGCGACCATACGGGTTCAGGAATCATGTAGACATGACTGAGACACCTCTCCGGTCAATAACCAATAGCGGGACTTGGATGCCCATATTGGTTCCTACATATTCCATGAAGATCTTTATTGGTTGAACCACAATGTCAAGGATTCAGTTAATCCTAGACGCAATTCCCTTTGTCCGCCAATATGTTACTTGCTCGAGATTCGATCGTCGGTATCTCCATACCTAGTTCAATATCGTTATCGTCAAGTTTCTTTACTCGTTTCGTAATATAAGATCCCGTGACTAAACTCATTGGTCACATGAAGCTTCTTGTGATTTTATATTACCGAGAGGGCCCAGAGATATCTCTCTGTCACAAGGAGTGACAAATCACAGTCTTGATCCACGCAACCCAACAGACTCCTTCGGAGATACCTGTAGAGCACCTTTATGATCACCGAGTTATGAAGTGATGTTTGATAACACACAAGGTATTCCTTCGGTATCCGGGAGTGGCATGATCTCATGGTCTAAGTAACATATACTTGATATGAAGAAAGTTGTAGCAAATAACTAAGTGATACGATATGATGCTAAGCTTATGGTTGGGTATTGTCCATCACACCATTCTTCTAATGATGTGATCCCGTTATCAAATGGCAACTCATGTCCATGGTTAGGAAACCTTAACCATCTTTGATCAATGAGCTAGCCTAGTAGAGGCTTACTAGGGACACTGTGTTGTTTATGTATTCACACATGTATTTAAGTTTCCGGTCAATATAATTCTAGCATAAATAATAAACTTTTATCATGAACAAGGAGTTATGATAATAGCTAATTTATTATTGTATGTAGGGCATATTTTCAACAAGCATGATTGTAGGAGCCAACATTACCAACCACCGAATCTAAAGAGAGGAACACTCACGAAAACCCTTCAGTGGCTGTTGTAATCCGCAAGTCGAGAGGTCAGGCCTGAAGAAGACCGCTGCTCATTGGCGTCGTCCACATGGAGAGCGTCACAACATGCCGGAGTGGAGGCCCTCATCTGACGGCCCCGCCGTATCCTGCCACCACACTTGCCCTCACCAACGATGGCGCACATGTCGCAACCTTACCAGCGCTATCCCCATGGATCTGGAGGGGACATGCTGGAGATTGCTACTCCGGACGTCTTAGGCTCGCCCCGAAGACCACCGGACGGACCCGTCTGATTGGAGCCACCACCCATCGGCAGGAGCTGGAAGCCATGACAAACAACGCTAGACAATCACATCCAAGAAGGATCCAGCATTAGTGGAGCCTCGAACGGCAGCGGAGCCACACGGATCTCACCAGCAGCAGCCGCCTGGACAGATCTGACGAGAAGCAGCCACATGGACGGATCTGGCGAGAAGCAGCGAGACAATCACACCCAGGAAGAATCCAACATTATTGGAGCCTTGAACGGCAGCGGAGCCGCACGGATCTCACAAGGAGCAGCTGCCTGGACGGATCTCACGAGCAGTAGCCAACCAATCACATCCAAGAAGGATCCGGCATTAGTGGAGCCTTGAACGGCAATGGAGCCGCACGGATCTCACAAGGAGCAGCTTCCTGGACGGATCTCACGAGAAGTAGCCAACCAATCACATCCAAGAAGGATCGAGCATTAGTGGAGCGTTGGACGATAGCGGAGCCGTGCAGATCTCACAAGAAGCAGTTGCATGATCACCTGGGGAAGAGGGGGAGTGGAGGAGAAAGAGATCCCGTCGTCACCAGCAACCATGCGGGGCTTTGTCCCGGAGGTGCTGACAGTCGGCGACGAGAGGAAGAGGCCGGCGAAAGGGTCGGTGTGGTGACCGCGTTGGTGCCGCCCTAGTCGCCTAAAACAAGCGGTTGTGTGCCAAGAGGTGGTTGATGGTTGTTTCGTTTCATTAGGAGAAAAGCTCACAACAACGGTTGATGGTTGTTGATTGATTCAGTCTACAATCTACTCCCTTCATTCACAAGTACACGATGTTCTAATCTTTTTCTAAATCAATTATACGTGGACACGTTTAGTGTGTTTATTACTCACTCATTTCAGTCCAAAATGTGGTTTGGAGATTCTTGAAACTTGAATATAATATGCAAAACATCTTATATTTATGAACCGAGGGAGTATTTAAACTAAAAAAACCGAGAGTATTTCACTGTACATCCGTGCATGCACGTTGTGGGCCCAGAGGTGGTAGTCCACGCGACAGCTCGAGCTCGTCCAACCCCACCGGGGAGCACGCGAGGATGACGCGACCCAGCGGCTCGGCGCGCATCGAGGGCGCGCACGGCACCCACTCCCACCGCTCCACGGCGCCCCCCGTCTTCCCCTCCTGCTGCAGCTCGTAGAGCACGGCGCCGTTGGCTGGCTCGGCCGAGTTGTACACGTACCCTCCGGTGGCGTTGCCGCACACCCCGATCGACGGGAGCGTCTCCCCGTCGTCCTCCTCGTCCTCGTCGTGCGGGAAAAGCCTCGCCGACATCTCGCTCGGCATTGCGTGGTGGCCCGCGCCGGGGGACAGATCCAGAGTGTCGCCGTCCACCTCCCATGCTTGGATGACGACTTTGTTCTTTGCCCCCTCGCCTTCGCGCTTCGCTCCGAAGAGGACGAGCTGCTCGGCGCCGGCGCGACCAGGCGCGACGCCCCACGTGGAGACGCCGGCGTCTGGCTTGAGGCGGCGGGTTGGACCCCACCGCCGCATCGACGGATCGAACCAGCTCGCACACCCGGTGGTTCTGTCCGCGAGGTACACTCTGTGATCCGTCGCGGCCACCGAAAGCCAAGTCGCTGCGGCGGACTCGCGGAGCGCCGCCGGCATCGGATCGCAGGCGGTCCAATTCCCGCCCTCGTGGACCTCCACCGCGGCGGCGTCCTCTCCCTCGGCGAGCGCAAGCTGGCACGCGCCGCCGAGGGCGACCACGCGGTCGCCCACCGCGGCCAGCACCGGGTCGACGCGCCACACGCCGGGGGCCTTCATGGCGACGCACGCGGACGTCCCAAGAGGGTCGCCGGCGACGTCGAGGCCGGAGCAGGAGAGCGCGCACACCCGGTCGCCGCGCGCGCCGCGCACGAGGCGCACGTGGGACGGCGTGGCGTGGCGCGGGGCCTGCACGGTGAGCCACGCGCCGGAGTGCGGGTCGTAGGCCGCGGTCCGGCGACGGCGGCCGTGGAGGTGGACCACGAGCCAGGGCAGCCGGCGCGGGCGCCGGCGCAGCGCGGACCGCACCGCGCGGAGCCACTCGCGCGAGACACCCGCCGCGGCGGCGAGATCAGCCGCCGGCACGCGCTCCACCACCGACTCGAGCACGTCCCCGTACAGGTACAGCGCGGCGAGCGCCGGCGACTCCCCGCCGTCGCCGTCGGCCTCGCACCTTTCTTGATGGCGCCGCGGGTGCTTCGGCTCGCTGGCTGGGATGCTCACGCCCATTTTCCAAACTTGCCACGAGCCCACGCACGACAAACGGCACAGCCACTGCTACCCCGCTAGTCCTACGACGCGGTTTAGATCCGCAACCGCACTGACGAGCTAAATAGACGAGGCGGAGTGTTTACGAAGACACGGCCACTTGAGCGGTGGAACCCGAAATAATTGTAAGTGGGACTAAACAAACGTTTATTAACGTGCATCTGGGCTTTGGTTCCTTTGAAAAGCAGGACGACAAGGACGTAAAGACTTATCTTTTCGCCGCCGAACATGAACAGAGCCAAGCCATCTGCGTTCGTCGGGGCCCTGCAAGATATTATCGTCCGCTGCTGCTGACGCTGAGGCAGCTGACCCTTTGTGAATTGTGACTTTGTGAGTAACGTCTCGCGAATGGGACGGCCAAGTGCGTCTTGTCGGCTCGCCTTTGATAAGGCTGCCCATAATGATAGTACCATAAGTAGTATCATGCATGTCAACTAAGCAATTTTGATGAGATGACATAGAATTAAATAAAAAAAAAGATGCTTCAGTATCATATCATGATATCGTATCATATTAAATGATGTGCTACTTTGTGTCATGCATGTTAATAAATATAGTACTTTATGATACCAACATATGATATTTTGCATTACGGATGTAGTATCATACACTAGTATCATATGCATGATACTAGTATATGATACTCTTCATTACAACCAGTCGATCGCCCCGTTTAGTTAGAATCCCGATGGATGGTAATTTCTTCGTGACTTTAGTGAAAAGACAAGGTTATGGCTGGAAAACGGACGGTAGCCCAACCTGCTTCACATTCACAGCTAAAATGGGTTTAAAGTTGTTCGAACACTGTACACATTTTTCAGCTACGAGGTCACAGAAGATATACTGTATAAAACAAGTTATTCGTTTGGACTTTAGCCTTTTTCCGTGCAAAGCTGCTCTAGAAGCCCAAACAAAGGCAGGGAGCGTGAGAGTGCGCGATCGAAGCACTATACATACATTAGCGTCCTGAACGACGATCTGTCCACTTTCGCGATTGGCTGCCTGACGTTTCTTGCAGTTCCAGTTCAGAATCATTACTGTCTCCACGGTGCGCGTCCTTGTCAACGAGACATGAACCACTACTTTTCTAGAAGATTTTCCGAGCTTCCAACCGCAAACGATACTTATCTTGTTAGCATGTCAGGCTCAAATGGACGGCACACAATTTTTCTTGCCACTCATGGAGTATCTCTTTTGCGCAAACAAATTTAGCAAGCAAAGGCCACGCTTTCAGAGCCGCGCTGTTCACAATAAATAGACTGGTCAGATTTCAGAAAACGGGTTGTTGAAGAATAAAAATAATGCGTAGATAAGATTCTGGATTGAAGGAATCGCTGTCCGCGATAAATAGATTGTTGAGACTTCAGAAAAGAGGAGGCTGAACGATCCTGTGCGCGGCAGGCACCTGGAAACAGCGGGCAGAGTAATTGGAAACATTTTACTTGCTGTAGCACGACCGAACGAGGCGGCGCCGCCGGGGAAGCGGTCGGAGCCGGGCAGCGCCGCCTCGTCTGCTCCCCGAGGTTTAGTCCATTTCGATCGTTGAGCAAGAGATCAAGATCGGTTGGCCAGGCGGCCCGGCTGGCGAAGGGAGGAAAGCCAGTTCCTGGTCCCTTTCGTGGTGGCTGCAGGCTACCAACCTACGGGTCAGTAGCATGACAAAGTTGTCTGTCAGTCACGTCACCGCAGTAGGATATGCATCCCCAAACGGTTGGACCGAGCCCAAGAGGTGCGACCTTGCAATCAGAGCGAACAACGCCACTGATCGGAGAAAATACTGATCAGAATAAATCACGGCACGCTCTATCAAGTATCAACACAATGTCTTATCTGAAAATTACAGTTCAGTAGGAATACTACAAATCTTGGACGGAGATCTTGACATGATCCGTACGTGGTCCCGTCAATTCAAATGAATGACTACCAGAGAGCTTGGGATTAAGCCAGCAAAGCAAACCACCATGATATGTGGATACAGGCGAGGCGAGGCTACTTCCTCTTGTTCTTGGAGGCGAAGCGGAGGACGAGGTAGAAGAGCACGCGGTAGAAGACGGCCCAGCCGAGGAGGTAGAGCACCATCCTCCACTTGCGGTCCTTGTGCACGCTGATGGTGAGGTTCTCGAGGATGGCGTTGCCGTCGAGCGGCGGGTTCGAGGAGAAGATGCGCGTCCCGCCGAACTCGTTCATCAGGAGGCCCTCGTACGGGTACTTCATCGTGGACACGGTGTTCATCCACTTCCACCCCTGCGGGATGCTCTGGCTGTCCACGAAGTAGCCGCAGAAGAGGAAGAAGAGCGCCGTGAACGCGATCACCGCCGCGTACCTGGGCCCGACCGTCCGTCCAGACACAGAGACATCAGCACGGTCGCAATATAAACTACTGTATGTAATTCTGGCCCAGCCCGCTAACCCATGTTCAGCTACACTGGCCCAGTTTTCCTACATGTACTAATTGGGCTTTGGCCCGGACCAATCCATTTCCTCTTCAAAAAGAAAATTTGTACTTACCCAAGGATGAAGTTTGGCACGATGGAGCTGATGAAGACGACGAAGGAGTTGGTGGAGAGGAGCGAGGCGTAGAGCATGACGAGGAAGTAGACGAACTGGCCGTGGAGCCCGATGGCCCACCAGGTGATGAGGGCGTAGGCGGCGGACTGGAGCAGGAGGAAGGGCAGGTACGTGATCACCCCGGCGACCACGTACGCGGACGCGCGGTACGCGTTGTGCGAGGTCTCCCTGATGAAGATGAAGCGCTCCTGGATGAAGGCCGGGACCGCGTCGTTGGAGGAGAAGAAGAAGACGCACACGGTGAAGATGAAGAAGCTGAGCCGGTTGGTGATGCCCTGCGTGTTGTCCTTGGGCTTGGTGAACATGGTGGCCATCAGGAACCCCATCACCGTCAGCACCATCAGCCGCGACAGGAACAGCTCCGGCGTGCGCCAGATGTTGGTGAAGTTGCGCCGCATCAGCACCCACACCTCCGCCGCGTACGAGTTGGCGAACTTGCCGCGGTGCCCCAGCGCGTTGATGCCCACGCCGGGCGCCCCCGTGGCGGACGCGCGCTGCGCCGGCGACAGGTAGTCGGCCTCGTTCACCGTGTACACCGAGATGCTGCTCAGCGGCGTCGGCGTCCCCATCACGATCTCCGGCCCGTACCTGTGGATTCCCGGAGACAAGCTATGCGGTTCATGCGACCGATTCCCGGAGACAAGCTAATGTTCATAGCACGATGAGGAACGTTTTTGGGGTACCTTGGAGGGTTCTGTGACTTGCCGCTTTGATCTTTCTTGGGGCGCCGGGACGGCGTGAACTGCGCGCCGCTCCACGGGGACTTGGAGTGCTGGCTCCTGAGGCTGTGGTCGAAGTCCTCGCCCCCGGGCCCAACCGGTGTCGGAGGGATGCTAGACACGGTGGAGATCCCCTCGGCGGCGAGCTTGCGCGGCTTCAGACCGGTGAGGCAGAACTCGGCGAGGGCGTTGACGCCGAACTCGGACTGGTCGTACTCCTGGATGACGTCGAGGAGGTGCTCGATGGAGTTCTCCCCTTTGGGCACCTTGCGGCCCATGCGGCCGAGGTGCGCGGTCACCTCCTTGGGCCCGCCGCTGTACATTAGCTGCCCGCGTGCCAGGATGATGAGGTGGTCGAGGAGCTGCAGGATCCGCGACGACGGCTGGTGGATGGTCAGCACCACGGTGCTCCCTGCGCACGCGATGTCGTGCACCTTCTCGATCACGCTGTGCGCGCTCGTCGAGTCGAGCCCCGACGTCGGCTCGTCGAGGAACAGCAGCGCCGGCCCGTGGATGATGTCCACGCCGATCGAGACGCGCCGGCGCTCTCCGCCGGACACGCCCCTCGTGCCCTCGTCCCCGATGTACGTGTTTCTTGATGTCTGCACAGCTGTTTTGTTAACACGTATACACACCGTGCGCACGTACGAATGATCTAGTAGCGTCTTTGATTCATTATTACCGTGAGTCCGAGCTGCTCGATGAGGTTGTCGACGCGGAGCTTCTTGTCGGAGGGGGAAACGGCGGAGCCGAGGCGGAAGTCGGCGGCGAACAAGAGCGTCTCGTAGACGGTGAGCATGGGGAAGAGGCGGTCGTCCTGCATGACGTAGGCGGACGAACGCTTGATGACGCTGGGGCTCATCTCGACGCCGTCGAGCGCCACGCGGCCGTCGAGGCTGGAGATGCGCCCGGCGAGCGCGTCCAGGAATGTCGACTTGCCGGCGCCGCTGGGACCCATCACGGCGGTGACGCAGCCTTTGGGCGCGTACCCCGTGATCTCGTGCAGAAGGTCCACGTCCTTCTTCTCCCACTCCCCGCCGACTCCGCGCTGCTTCTTGACCACCGTGTACGTAAGGCTGGTGAACTCCAGCCCGCCGGTGAAGCTGAACCGGCTGCCGCCTTTCGCGGTCGGCTTCTCCGGGTGGTCCATGTCTATCACGGCTTCCAGGTCACGGTGGCCGCCGTACCGGTGGTTCGGCTGCGCCATGGTGTGCTCTCGGACACTAGCTTCTGTCTATAGCTGCCAGTCGAGTATGATGTTTTTTGTAACCATGCAATGCGTGTGCATACTAAAGCGTTGGCCTTCTTATTGGCATGCCACTGCAAGCTTGGAGATTTTGTCCCGATGGTATGAGCCAATTGTCGGGCGTGAGAAATGAGGATGGACAATGAGATTCATCGGAGTGAACGTTGGTGGGGTCAGCTTTTGGTTTCGACCGCCGAGAGGTGATTGGTTGTTTGTCCTCGACAGTATCATGGCCTCGTACACATTGAGGTGTACTAGCAGCTATTTCTGCTTGGAGGTTGCTTCTGGAATGCTGAACTTTTGGAGTTAAGCCCGCCAGAGAAAGGATGCCAGGTGTCTATAATAGAGTATCATGAAGCTTCTTTTTAGCTACCATACTGGAAGTTGGGAATTACCGTGAAAAATAGTCCTAAAAAAGAGGAATTACCTGTGAACCAACTCGTGATTGAATGGTTAGAGAGACAATAGTATCCCCTGCCCACCATGGTTCAAGTCCTGGTGCTCGCATTATTTCTGAATTTATTTCAGGATTTCCGGCGTTCCACTTCGTCTCGCTAAGCTGCCCAGTAAAAATGATTGGAGGTGTGCCCAAACTATGTGGAAATGATATGAATATAGTATTAACAGAAGAAAAATTATAGATACTCTCTCCAATTCTCAATAGTATGCATATAACTTTCCCTAAATTTTCCCTTGTCTTTCCATCTACGCCATTACCCTTTCCATCCCGTCCGGTGTGGCAACCGCCACCGATCCGTCCGTCGTGGCTGAGCGAAGGAAGAAGTCGTCGGCACAACCCGAGTCTGTTCCGGCCTCCCAGTGACTAGGCATCCAAGATGGCTTCAAGGAAGACGTCACCGCCGAGGAGATGTTGTACGAGTCGCCATGACTCCAAAGACAACAGACAACGTCGGGCAACGACGCCGCCGACCTGCTCACATGTTGTTCGACAATATGTCCGAGCCTATGCAATTTGACATGGGGGCTATCAATTCCCCTTTGTTTGAATTCGGGCAAACATCGCACACGAAAAAGAAGAAGGTAGTCAAGCCAAGAGGTCCAACATTCACACCCTTTGAAGATGTGTTGTTGGTTGAATCTTGGTTGACCACAAGCCCACAAGCATGGATCCAGTATGTTGAATTGAGCAAAAGGGCGTCAAATATTGATAAAAAATCCACAAACTCTACCATGAGCAAAAGCACTATGTGAAGCCGCACCCCATTTGTACCAAGCGTAGTGAGAGCTCTCTCCAATATAGATGGTCCATCATCCAGGAGAGTGTGAACAATTTTGTTGGTTACTATACACAAGTGGTTGGCCGGAACCAAAGTGGCATTGGAGTTCAAAGCCATGCAACTTTGACCGCGAGTTTGTACCAACAAACCGAGAAAAGACAGCCACTTTATCCTTGGCTAAAATTTAGTAGGAAACTAGACTGGCAAACCATCACTGAAGAGCTCAAAAACAGCCCCAAGAAGATGAAGAAAACTGATGGCTCTAGCTCCAATCAATCTATGGGATTTGGATGACGAAAAGAGTAAATTGGAGGACGGACATACAAAACCACCGTGCCAAAGAGAAACCGGCTGATGATGGGAAAAAATGGAATAAGGAGAGAGTTGTGCGTGATGGCGCGACAAGCAAAATGTTTGGCACATGAATGGGTATTTTTTTCACCAAGGAGGTGAAGAAGGAGGAACAAACTCTTCATAGATGTGCAAAAAGGAGGGAATGGAGTTACCCCGGGAGAGGGTGAAAAATAAATTGAACATTGAGAGAGAGAGAGAGAGAATAGACTTTGAGAAGTACTAAGAGAAATATGCAAAATGGGAGCTTGAAAAGACAACGGGAAAAAACAGAGGAGTCGAGAATCATGTTGCAGGACACTAGCCTCTTGGATGATGAAGGCAAGAAGCGTTTCATCAACATAAAGAAGATTAACAAGCACAACAATGGAGGCGTTTGATTCATTCGTGTATCACCTATCTATGCATGAATTGCTGATTTTTTTAGCATGTGTTGAATTGTTGAATTATGGTTTATTACGTTCGGTCGAGTTGTTGGATTGATGATGAACTTGTGCTATGTGATAGGCGTTCATGGATTTGCATGAATACGAGGGTTGGCATGTGAGGATTGTGGTTGTCCAGGGAGACAAATGAGGAGCCTACCGACGCTGTCTTGCGGGCATGTCTGGGCGCGCCCACGGACTTTAGGGGGTCAGATTTGCCCAGTCTGGTCATAGATGCGCTTAACCAGGTCAACTCTTTTTAATATAAAAAAAATAATCCCATCAAAGTACTAGTTTAGGGGTTTATCTTGGACCCTACTATCTGGGAATAGTCGTCAAGGAGTGACTCCCATCGATCGTTTATGTTTGTCAGGGGGAGTAGCTCTGAACGAACGTTCTGCCCCCTCGATCATTCTTTAGGGGAGGGCCAAGGTAAACCACGATTGCCCGAGAGGCCCAATTAACTGATTTTTAAAACGCCATAAAAATACACCTTTTTTTTATAAAAATAGAGGAAACAAATAAATTTATAAAATGCCATGGTTACGAAAATATGAAAAATGCCATGCTACTTTATAAAACTGCCATTTCTCTAATTTATAAATTCACAATGGTATGATTTAAAAAAAAGTGTCGTGTGATCTTATTTTTCATTTTTTATCAAAATTTTCCATGGATATTTCACTGTGCAAAAAATGCCATGTTTTTGGAGAACATTTTATTTTTGGCATAAACAAAAAAAAATGCCCATGGGTAAATTTTTTGCTTTATTTGGTCCATTGTGCAACAATTTATTAAAAAAATCGTGTCATTGGAAAAAATTGGCATGCCAATGAAAAGTGAATTTGTCAGCCATCCTCTTGAATAAAAATGTCATGCGAACAAGAATAAAACTGCCACACTCTCAATAATCAAATTGACATCTTCTTAACAAAAAAATGCCATGTTATTAATAACAAAAATGCCATGCGCTCAATAATAAAACTGTCATGTTATTAACAATAAAGCTACCATGCTGTAATAAAACTGTCATTCACTTAATAATAAAAATGCCATGTGAGAAAGCAATATATTTTTTTTCTCAAAAAAATGGTATGAATAAGTGATAAAAATTCCCATAGTTTGCCATGGGGCATTACAAAAGGACTAGAAATTGCCATGTTATGGAACACAAAAAAAATGTCATGGATTAAAATTAAAAAGAAATTGCCATGTTACCTATAACTAAAAATGCACATGACAAGTTAAAAAAAATCCCCAGTAAAAACATCAGGATTTTTTCTTTCAAAATAAAAAATCAGGTTTTTTGGATTATTCTTCAAAAGGAAAATCGAATTTAAAACAAATTTAGCTTTGAAATACATATGGCAGTCTGGTAGCAAGTGTTAACAAAACCCCACTTCAGTGGAGTGGTAAGCGCCCTCCTCTGAGAAAAGGTGTAATAGCGAACGACTCCAGCTAATCTACGTGACATCGGCTTGTGTCAAGATTCGTACAACGATGGGGAAGGCGTTCGCTGGGATGAGCTCCCTGGCTGCCGTTTGCCAGATATTATTTCCGTTTTATCTCAGAATAGTTGGGCAGAAATCGAGGGAAAAAGAGCACAGGCGAGAGGATAAACGTTGCGGATTGTTGTCCACCACACTATACCGAGGAAACTAATGAGAAAACAGCCCTCCTCGTCTGGAAAGGCCTTTTTTGCCTTGAGCCTGCAAAAAGATGAGAACAATGCAGCTTCGAGCCCCTGCTAGAACAGCATAGCTGTAGCAGATATGAGATAGCCGGCTACCAGTCCCGCAATCGGAATCCATGGCGCCAGCAGCGACCCCGTGCTCCCCGCGTCTCCTGCTCGCCTCGTCTGCGTCTCCGCCTCCGCTCTTCCGCGTCGCGGCCCGCCCCCTGCTGCTCGGTAGCCGCGGCGGGGGCGTGCGCCTTCGGGTTCGATGCGGAGCGGCGGACGAGGAGGCCGAGGTTCGGCGTGGGGAGCAGGTGAAGGCGTCTGTGGAGGAGATGGCGCCCGGCCTCGACCTTGTCACACTCGCGGCCTGCCTCGTGGGCCTCCTCACTGGCGTCTCCGTTGTCCTCTTCAATCTTTCGGTAGGTGCTTGCGAACCACACTATGGTTTGGTTCTTTCAGAATTTGAAATTTGTCCAAGAGTCTCTCAACTACTGCGTGAACTTCTTTTTTAACACAGTACAAGCGCATACGCACATACACTCACCCGATGAACGCACGCCGGCACACCCTACTCCTATGAACACCTCTGAGAGACTTAGTCGGCACACCCTACCCCTACGAGCACCTCTGAGAGACTTAGCCGGCACACCCTACCCCTATGAGCACCTCCGAGTGACTGAGCCGGCACATTATCTTGAGATTGATGAAGTCGCCACACACGCCTTCATAGTCGACGGAACGTCTCCCCCCACTGAGCACACATTGCCAGAAGGTCTGAAATAAATCCAGAAAAATGCGAGCACCAATGCCTAAGTCTAGGACTTGAACTTTGGTGGGTTGGTTCCACCACAAGGAACCTAACCATCAGAGCTACGCTCAATTGGTATGTACTTATATGGGTTGGTTGCTGAACGTATTACCAGAACTTTGCTTCTGTACACCCCCTAGAAAAGTTTACAAATTTCGATGTAGATTAGAAGTTACATCTTCCAATAAAAAAGGGTAATATAGTCTTTTGTATCCACATAAATCTATTCAGTACGTTTGATCTACATGCTAATATGGTGATAGCCTTTTTAAGTAACTTTAAGATTCGTGTAACAAATGCTCAAGGTGTTTTTCAGATAATGGTACTGAACTTCCCCTCGGTGTTTGCATCCGAACTCCGAAGATGTACACATCAAATTTATTATTCATTACAATATTCACACTCAATGGCTCTGAAGGAAATTACAAGCTACATAAAGCTTGTACAAAAATCAAACATTACATATCAAACCATCATCGCAAATGGAACATAAATCCCCTGGTAGTCCAACTCCATCAGCTCCTGCAGTAAGGGCCATGACCGTAACCAGCTGACACAGATAAGAAGATAACCGTTGTCATTCCTGTATAAGGTATAGGGTAGCGAGTTGTAAAAGCTTGATGATCCAACCCAACCATGCTCATGTCAGAAGCTATTTCGTGGAAGGTAATCAGAAGCACTCATTACAGCTCAATCACCTGCGTTTTATTCTATCAAGTAATTGAACTTCATGTATCCACGATTTAGTTCGTCATATCGAAAATTAGCCTCCTCCCCTTGAAAATGAGGGCTGCCTTCACCACCTTAAAAAAACGATGGCACCTTCCTACCTGCAAAGTTCTAGCTTAATTTGTTTTTCATTCATAAGTTTGGATGGATATTGATGCTGGATATAGGAATGAACAATACCTTCGAAGCATTGCTCATATCTCCAACATATAGCTCAGGGGGGCTAGCAATTTCTTTCAACTCAAACTCAGGATAGCCTCATGTCATGTTCGGATCTACAAGGAGCAGGCTGCAATTGTGTAGCCGTGTCCAGCTGAGACACGATGCCAAGGGTGGTGGATCTAGCTGCCTACCAGTTTGGAAACAACCATGTCCTAGCTGGACATGACACTGGCACAGCTAGATGTCAGACCATGGATTCGTCACATCAATTTGATGGCTTGCTATGTTGAAAGATACCCAAAACCTATAAGGTTCAAGTAATGTTTCAAACTGTTATGAAGTTGGGTCAGAGTATCTTTTTTGTTTTTGTTTTGATCTTTTGGAAATGGAAGCTTTTATTGATTCAGCGCCATGTATCTAGAGGATACAATCACAAAAGAGTTCGGCTTCTGGAGGTCAGAGTATCTGTTTAGGCTGCCACCTATATATAAGAGGGAGCTGTGCCAATGAATAAAACAAGCAACATAACTCCAAATCAGTATTTCTCTGAATTTCTCTCGTGCCTCCCCTCTAGTCCCCCTGAGTACCTGACCAACATGGCCTTAGGCTGAAAACGTTCAGTATATTGCGACACGTGTTACGTTACAGTACAGGATGCGGCACCCCATCTTTGGCTAGGTTCCAATTCCGAATTCTGTAGGTGTCCACCAAATGCCGAGTGAACTTGAAGCTCCAGGTCTTAAGTCGGAATGATACAATGTGAAAGTTTAAGCACCTTGTTGCATTTTGCTACTGATGGGAATCACTTTTAAATATTCACGTTGTTAGTTTAAGTACATGTTATTGCTTCTTTGGATGTAATTTTTTTACCATAGGTTCATGAAATACGTGACCTGCTTTGGGATGGCATACCACTGCGAGGCGCTTCGTGGCTGAGGGAAGAACCCACCGCTGAAATTTGGCAGAGAGTGATATTTGTTCCCGTCAGTGGAGGCATCATAGTTGGAGGGCTGAATACGCTAAGAAGTTCTATCAAAACAAACTCAGATGGCTCTGTTTCTAATATGAAAGGTGTGTTTAGGCATTCTTGAAAGCTGCGGCGGCATCTTTCACTCTCGGAACTGGCAACTCTCTGGGGCCTGAGGGACCCAGTGTGGAAATAGGTTCTGCTATAGCGAAAGGATTTGGAAATGTGTTTGGGTGGGAAGGCGGAAAAAAGCTGTCTCTTGTGGCAGCTGGGTCAGCAGCTGGCATTGCATCTGGTAATTTCTACATCCCCAACTGTTCATATATTTTGTTGCAAGGTATGTTCCATCAATATGATGGATTAACCATCGGGTAAGCATGTCATAATTTGCTTGATTTCTTCATGCTTATATCAAATTAATTTTAAACTACAGGGTATCTTGTCATAAAAAAATCAGTTCCCTATAGATAGTTTTGTCCACACATATTCACATTTTGATGTTGGCCTACTATAATTAGTTATATATAACTAGAACTTAGTTGCATGCGTTGGTGGAATTTTAGGGACATGTTCCTCCGTCATGTAACTTACCCAGCCGCAAGTATGTGATTCACCCGTTATTGTTTTTCGAAAAGGATTCACCTGTTATGAGTACTCTGATATGGTCAACATGTCCAATGGTAAAGTAAAAATATTCCGTGTCTTCTGCTTTCTGATTCCATTTACTTATATTTCAGGTGATTTCCTTTTTAGGTTTTAATGCTGCTGTTGCTGGGTGTTTTTTTGCGGTGGAGTCTGTTTTGTGGCCTTCATCTGGCGATTCTTCATCCCTTTCCAACTCAACACCTATGGTGATCCTCAGTGCAGTGATAGCGTCTGTTGTTTCAGAGATTGGTCTTGGTTCTGATCCTGCTTTCACTGTTCCAGAATATGATTTTCGCTCCCCAACAGGTACTTAATGTTTGTTATATTTGAGATTTTTAGTTCTGTTTATGAATATGAAGTACTTCCTGGCATCCTGCAATATTGGTTCTTATGCTTCACAGTTTCTTATGACGAAGTGTCTGCTGTTTTAAATTGTTCCCACCAATAACATTTCCCAAATAACTTCATATGTTGAAATGAAATAAGTCATGTTCTGTTTCTTTTTCTTTCAAAAGGAGGGTAGAAATCCCCAGCCTCGGCATCAATCCATGCACACATCCCTCAATAGATTATTGCAAGGTTTACAAGTATCCAAATAGTCATCAAAAGCAAAAATGAAAGCTAGAAGGGCAAGGACAATGCCAGACACCATCCAGCAGTCAGCAACTGGTGTAGCCATTTGCTAAGTCATGTACTGTACCAGCTGAAAATTCCTAAAATAGGACACCAACAAATCCTGCGCATTTTTGCTCTTGAACTACCTGATGCTCCTAAAGCAACCTGCTGTCCTGCAATTTGTTTTAGCCTCATATAGTCATATAGAATGCCTATACAATCTTCCAGATGGTAGGCTGGTCTCAGTAACTTTTAATGGTACTCTCATTTTACATTTTGTTTTTCGTGCTCCAGAGATTGAAAGTATGAGGATATTTACATGACTTCATAAATGTCAGAACTTCCTCTATATCTCTTGCTGGGCGTGTTCTGTGGAGCGGTGTCAATCACCCTATCTAGGTGTACAGCAGTAACTATGGACATGGTTGAACGCTTACAAAAGACAACAGGATTGCCGATGGCTGTATCCCCTGCCTTAGGTGGCCTTATTGTTGGTCTTCTCGCTCTTGTATACCCTGAAGTTCTGTATTGGGGCTTTGAGAATGTTGATATTTTACTGGAATCGCGGCCATTTACAAGTGGTCTCTCAGCAGCAGTGTTGGTTCAGCTCATTGGAGTAAAAATATTGGCGACGTCTTTGTGCAGGGCTTTTGGATTGGTTGGAGGTTATTATGCACCATCCCTTTTTATTGGTGCAGCTACAGGCATGGCATATGGCAAGTTCATGAGGTTTACATTTACTGGCTCTGAAGCACCGTTTCATGTCCCCTTCCTAGACGTAGCGTCACCTCAAGCATATGGTCTGGTAATGCCCATCAGCATATTACCTTTCTTCTTCTCAACTACTCCTTCCGTTAATTTTTAGAAAGCACCAGTACATCTCCAATGATTAACTTTGTAAATTTTGACCAACAATTAGTCCAGCAATATACATATTTAAATTTAATCACAGAAAACTGATACTGTTAGATTCGTATTTTATAACATTTGTGTATGATCATTATTTATGTAGTTATCAACAAATACTTCCAAAGAAACAAATGGCCACTGTTCAGTTTTGCAGATCATGCCAAGTCAAATCCTGCCTCCCATTTTTGCAACAGAGGAAGAAGTTCAATGTCTCTTTGTATGCTTTTGTAGTGTTAATGATATTGTAACCATGTGGTGGCATTTCCATCTCTTGTGCTTGTTTTGTAGTCACTGCTCAGCGATTTTCAAGTTCTAACTTTTTTCCTTTTGTGTGCTGTTACACTAATGAAGATATTATGCAAGCAGTATTATCATTGCTTATGTTTGTTTTCCTTTGTTTCTATCTTTGCAGGTTGGTATGGCAGCTACACTTGCCGGTGTATGCAAGGTGCCTCTGACATCTGTCCTCCTACTGTTTGAACTAACGCAGGACTATCGTATAGTTCTGCCTTTGCTTGGTGCTGTTGGACTATCATCTTGGATTGCTTCTTCTCAAAGGTTCTCTACCAGCGGTAAGGGTAAGCTGGATTCATTGGAGGAGAAAACAAGCACCATTGAAGAGGCGAAAAATGTGCCCACTCAAACCCAACAACTCACTTCTGTGGATAGTGTTGATGCTACTGCAGAATTATGTAAACTAGAAAGCTCGCTTTGTGTCTATGATGTCAAAGATGATAACGTGCTGGAAAATCTTACTGTTGCAGAGAGTATGAAAATTAGATATATTTCTGTCTCATTGAAAACTCCAGTAGTTGAGGCACTAAATCTTATGCTTGTGGAGAAGCAACCATTTGTTATGATAACTGAGAGCAATAAGTCTTTATTAGGCTTGCTAACAGTCAAAGATTTCCAGGATTTCTGCAAAACTGTAAAAAGTACCAGGATGCAACCTGAGGTGAGAATTACCACCATTTTCCACTGGTTCATTTTCTCTATTTGCATAACCTTGATGTTTTAGTTTATGGGAAGACATACTTTTCTTATTTGTGCACACTTCTTTTCTGTCCTTTTTGATTTCCAAGTAACAGAGCACCCCCTGCCCCAGTTTCATGACAGATACCTAGTGTCCGAAGTATTTGCATCCATATGGCTATTTTGGATGCAGAACCAAAAGGAGACATACTCAGTCTTAACCCTGTAAACCACATCACAGTTCAGATACATCAAAGAAACAACTCACAAACTATCACATGACAGCCAACAGACTATCACATATGAAGAATCCTATTTTTGTGATGGATTGGAACATGTCAAATATATTCTGCACAAATTAATTAGTCCCTGGAGCTCCGAGCCCTTGACCACTTTTCGTCTCTCAATCTGTGATGGAATAATCATGACAATAGAAAAATGATGACGAAGCCATCTGCAAATTCCTTAGTCACAACTCCAAAAGAGTGCAAGGATTTGCATTCTCTCTCACAACCTGTTTGAACCATAGGACCTTTAGATCCTTGCCCTATATACACAAAAGTCTTGCGCTAAAGAATAACCTAGGTTCTAATCTGGCGTCCTAATTATTTTATCTTGGTTGGATGAGATTGCCTATTGCTTGATTACTTGGGTTGGGTGATCCCTCTTTTTCTTTTGTAGGGCGTATTTTGATTGGTTTAAGACAAGGCTTTTACCAACAATTACTATATTAGTATGTAATTTATGTGACATAAAATTGATATCATTAGTTTCGTATTTAGAAATATTTATGATTGTGATTTCGTATTACTAAACCACTTATTAACCGAGTAATTCTTGGTCAAAGTCTTGCCTTAACCAATAAAAAACGCACCATGCAAAAAGAAACAGAGGGAGTAGTTTTTGGTTCCCCACCTGTCCTCCCTCGGTGAAAATAGGATCCAGTCTGATTGGAATTAATACAAGAGTCCTTTAGTTACACCTCTCCCAAGTCCAATAGGTTCAAATATATTTGTCATATTTCTAAACACTGAAGTTTGTGTGGTTCATACATACTTCAAACTCTTTTTTATTAACAGAGAAAAAGATGGGTTTCTTATTTCCTTAAGAGGTCAAATGGTAATCCAAAGGGTGTTAAGCTTATAAACTTGATGTGGTTCTTATTTTAGTTACTCATTTCTGCTCATGCTGGAACAGGTAGATGAATGTCTGGTATCTCATGTTTGTGGAGTCGTTAGATGTAAAATATGGTCTGTGACACCTCATATGCCACTTACTACTGCTGAAAAGATTATGGATTCTCATGGAATGGACCAGGTTCCTGTAGTTTCAGAACATGTTAATCATCAGGATGGAGGAATCTTGATTGGTTTTGTAGATAGAGAATGCATCACCATTGCTCGAAGGTAAAATTAAATGTTTGGATAACTATGTTTCCAGATTTCAACTCTCAGTAATGAATAAGGTGACAAATTACTTGTTTTCCAACTTATAACCAATGTAGTGATGTTTTCCTTCCATGCTATGTTCTCTTTCAGAGCTTTGGCAGCAAAAGAATTTTTCAGTTTCACATCGGAGATCAGAAGGGAAGAGAGTTGATGCGGATTCACTTAGTAATTTGCTTGATATTCTGGAGATTTCATTTGCTCATGTCCGCTTATGTGATTAATCTGGTCAACAGCCGAGAAATCATAATCGACCAGGTTTATTTGGTAACTTAAGAATTTCAGAAAGTGAAGTAGCTGGCTGAAGTCTCTTCCATTTCTATCAAGACTGTATGTGCATGCGCAGTGCATTGCTGCATTATTGTGGTAAGAGCACGCTATGTTCTCAGTAGTTGGATCGCTGCACCTTGCACCTAACTTGTGCATACCACTGTTCTCCTTTTCTGCAAAGCAAAATGGAGTATGTTCATTTAGGAACTGGGCCAGCGCATTGGCACTTGAGCGTGCCTACTACACAGTATAATTCTTCAACTGAGAATTGAACTATTCGTCAACGTAGACACTCGAAAGATAGGCAACAAGATCAGGCTATGTCACACTCATATTTCTCTTTGCATGTTATTAGTAGTTTGAATTAAATGAACCGAATTTGCATAAGGGAGGGTTTGTTTGGCGGAATCTTCTAATAATTATCGTGTATTCTTTGCAGTCTTACGTAGCAAGTTGTTTGTTAAAACAACCTTCCTGTAGAAAAACAGTTTCTATTCGTATCTTTGTGCCAAAAGAACCTTTATTGTTGTACTTTTATCACATGTTTTGAAGCTAGTTTCAAATTTTGAACAACAGCAACAACAAAACCTTTTGTCCCAAGCAAGTTGGGGGCAAGCTTAAATTTTGAACCTAAATTTAAATTGGAATATTCCTTTATCTGCATACTTGAACTCTAAATTTATATTTGGAAATTCGAAATCTTGAAATTTATATCGCAATTGTGAAATTTGGAAATTTAAATGCCAAAAATCTAAAATCCG